GTTAAAAAAGAAGAAAATATTTTGGTATAACATTTTTCCTTTCGACCCACCGTTTATATAAAATGTATATTTAAAAGAAAATGTGAAATATGAATGTATATTATTTTTTTTAGTGTAATATTTATGTACTTTTGGCAATATTGTATAGTACTCGGCTTACAAGGTGCTCGACTATTGATAGGAAATATATTAAGGGATGATAACATGAGAAGAATAGAAGAAAGATTGTGCCCAAGACACCACTTATAATTTATAAAAGCCCGAATCTACGAACACCCTGTATACTTTCTTTTTTGCAATTGTACATTCATTTCTCTTGCTCCTTTCTTTCCATCCATCAGTGAGGTTCTTCTCCAAACAATCACTCTTCTCCGAGAATCTGTCGCTCCTTGGACAATGAAGAGTGCGAAACCGCAAGCCAGTGAGCGTCGAGAAACCGCAATTTCTTCGATCGCCGATTCCACAGGAGCTCGCCCGGTGAGAACTCGATGATTTACGGTCCCCGCCGGCATCGAACCGCATCTTCATGTCGATCCATTATCCCTGGGTCCCAGCGCCGGATATTTACTATCCCTTATTTACACATCGTGCCTCCCGATGAATGGCCACGGAGTGAAACGCGAACAGGAAGCGGGAGGAGGAAGAGACATGGAGGCGCTAAAGAACGGTTTCGAGAAGTAGGGGTTACGATGCTCGAAGGGGGTGGATTATTTACGGTGTAACGGTGTGGTCCGGGGCTGTTGTGTGTCTCGTTGTCAGGTAGGCGGATCGGGAGGTCCGCAAGCAATTTGCATTTATTTGCGGCTTCTCGCTACCGGCAACACGCCCCCTTTTCATGGCGAGCCATGAGACCACAGATGCGTATCTCGCTTCACACTTACGTCACCCAGGACCCGGTGCTCCCGTTTCTTTCGCTCCCTTTTTTTTATTAACGATATTATATCGGCGCCGGTTTCATACTCGCTTTTTTCCTCGGATCATAATCCCGGTGATAATGCCCGGATAATCAGCGCATCCATAATTGGCTAGCGAATTATTGCGACAGGTGCTTAGATTCGAGGGTTAGGAGCTGTTAGGAGAATCATCGTCTGCTGTTTGGAGTTAGAACTTCGGCTGAATGTTTTTATTTGCACGCAAGGTATTTTTAGTTGTTTATTTATGTCTTCAAGTTACTCTTCTTAATTTCCAATTAGTAATGGATATGTAGGAACCCTTCAATGACGATTTCAAGTAGCCAATGTAGAAATAAAAAAATTTCTATACACATTTTGTATTCGTAGGCACTGATGCCCTCTATGAAAATGATCCTATGAATTTTTCTTCTCAAAGTAGGAAGTTTTTCTTCTCTTTCGCTATTTAACGAATTAAGTATGATTAATCGGCATTTTATTGGTACTAACAAAATTCAGCTGTTCCTCTGGTGGAAATGCACATCATGTAAAAATATAAGGTGTGTTCTTGTGCATCCATTTGAACTAATCATGGACGCTTCCACTCGTTGGCCATTTTGGATTTCTAACCAATCACGCTTCATATTAACACAAAGCGAATTTAAAAATCGTAAACATATCAAAAATTAAGTTCTCGAAGTGTAATATAAGAGAGTTCGGACTAAACAATACACCTTAAATTTTTACATCATGGATATGCATAAGTTGTGCTATTGCGCAGTTAAGTTCATGACCTACCTTGCAACGGCTACTTTGTCTTGTTCACCAATCGTATTTTCTGTTAAAAAGAAAGAAGTTAAGGAATATTGAAATCGAAAATTAACTTAAAAATATCTAAATTACAAATAGAAAAGAAATATTTCTCAATTATGATAATATTAATTAATATATATTGAAAGTTATGATGAAATATTTGAAAACGATAAGTAGCCAATACGGCCGCCATAGAATGCGCAGTAGTTCACGAAAATGGCACCTAGAAAGTTCCACTATGCTTTGTCCCAAGTTGTAATTCAGTTCAGATTTGCCCATTACATTTCTTCTCTTCTGTATAAATATTAATTTTTTTTCTCTTCTATCTAGATACTAATTTTATATGTACATTAAGTCTATTTGTCTGGAAATAGATTTGGTTTGTTTGCCCCTACTCCATACCTTCCTCAATCCATCCCCTCTCCATACCTTCCTTAAATCATCCCTCCTTCGTTTTCTTTGTACTACCTCACATTTTCTACCCTTACGTATGTTAATCCTAATTAAAAATCAGTAATTAGAATAAATTCTCTCTTGTTCATACCATCGTCTCTATCTAACTGCTCATAAATACTAATTATAAACAATCATATA